AGAATGCACCCAAACACTGCCACGCACTGCGGTCTGTCTCACCTCCTCGGTGTTCAGCAAACAAGGCGATGTACTTGCACAAATCTGTGACACGATTCGAGGTTAGAATTGGTTTGTTTGGATTCGAGCTGAAAGTTGTCGCAAAAGAGGTGAAGCTTTAGGTTTTTTTTTTTTAATCTTTAATCTCGGCACACTTTTGGCACGTTCAGTCTTACCCAGCGCTGATCAGCACAGATGACACATTGGCATGTCCCCTTTTTGTGTTTGGACCTCGTTTGAGCAATACTAGAAGTGAGATCTTCTTTCCAGCTTACCTTGATGAGGTCTTGACCTTCTTCTTGTGAAAGTAAACTTCTCTCAAGTCATCCAAAGCCTCTTTAACTTAGTCCCTATAATCGGATCGCACTGTGACTTTTAAGCAGATAGATCTGCAGTTAAGGAGATCTGCAGAGAGAGTTTATGTGTGGAACCTTGTATTTGTGTCAACATTCAGGGAGCTAAATTTTAGCAGGGATGCAATCTGTGCTAAGGGGATTTAAGTTGGAAGGTTTCAACTGCTGCACGTGGGGTTCTGGATCTGTATATAATGTTAAAAACTGTCCAAAACTGTGCTGCTGTGTTTCTGAGGCAACCACTTGTTCCCCCATCCTCCTGCAGAAAGATTTAAAGAGTGTTTCTTTTTAACTGACACCTCGAATCCTTGAAAATACGAATTTGCACACCTAATGGTTCTTCCGTGGCACGACCCCTGCATGCACTCAGCTGCAATCATCTGCTCGTTAATATGYGTGTTGCATATCGGACTTGGATCTTCAAGAGCCTTAATATCCTGTTGCAACATTGAGGCAGAGGAACGTTGGCGTGCATGYGTTGGGGGTGGAGGGGTGGACACACATTTGGGTGCTCCAGCGCGTGTTTGTCCGGCCTGTCCAGATGTGCAGGAACAGCTGCGTGTTGTAATACTTCCTGTTTTGCAAGCTGTTCTCGGTCGGATACAGGCTGGGATGCTGGACTAAGCAGAGTCAAAACACAGACAAACAAAGAAAACAGGAAGCAGGAGTGGTAAACTAGCTTAACATACAAATTAACATAAAGCAAAAGGAWTGAACCAAGTTGCTCTGTTCAATCTGTCTGTGCTCTACCTTTAGCTCTCCGAAGCTCCATCTCTTCTCATCGTACAGGAATTTAGTTTCACAAGAAACCTCAAGCTGGGACTTGGACCATTTCTAAATGGACCAAGGAGGCAAGGAGGTTCAAAGGCAACCCACCCTTAATGTGCTTTTGTACGAGGTAGCAACAGAGCTGAAACGGTAATGAAAAAGTGAGCTGGTTTTGCGACTCAGTATTTCGATGAAGTGATTACATCTGGTCTGTCCAACCACTCGGCTGTGGGATTGAAAAACATCCAGCAGAAGTTATACCAAAGAAGATCAATGACGCACATCGACTTTGCATTTAGTTAAAACATTTAGCTAACAACAAAAAGAGTCACCAAACTGACTTAATCAAAAGATACTGCTCCATCTGTCTTATGGTTCTGTGATTCTCGTTTCATTTCTAAAAGCTCACATCTATGCGGAACATGGCCTATTCCTTTGGCTAGTTTTTTATTGGCCAAGGGCAGCATAAAGTCAGACTGGTCTTTAGGCGACACGAGGCAGGGGTTTGTCTTATGACCAGTGGGTTGCCAGTTCGAACCCTGCTTCATCCTTTTCAGTCGTTTTGTCCATGGGCAAGACACTTCCCCTATCTTGCCTGTTAGTGGTGGTCAGAGGGCTCASTGGCACCAGGGCATGTCAGACTTGCCTCTGTCAGGGTACCTCAACCATCTATGGCTACATTGTAGCTTATTATCACCARTGTAAGAGCTTGTGTATGAATGACTGTAGTGTGAAGTGCTTTGGAGTTCTTGGACATTTTGTGACCATTTCAYTGAACTGTTTTTGTGAAAGAACTTTGAAACATGAAAGGTAACATGCAATATGTATTCCTTTATGGAATGACAGAACTTGAATATTTACATGACTTGTCACCTTTCTTTTTGAAACCGAAATGTTTACCATCCTGTTAGCAAATTGCGTGGTTCTTGTCAGGAATGCTGTAATGATTGTTGTTGCAACTGCTAGTTTGCCTTATGGACGTGCATTCTTGGAGGTACAGGTGTAAAAGCAGCCATGACGCAATAAGTCTGCTGTAGCCTGAGGCCAGCTGTGCTGACACTAACAGATGTGCATGCACATGGACAGAAACTGAACAGATGAACTCAGGAGGGGAGAGATGGAAAAAATAGAAATGGAAGCTATTTGTCATCCCTTTAATGATATTCTGTGAAATTAATCTTTCTGTGATGAGGACACACTCTCGAGTTCTTGCCTATAAAAGAAGGACGCTGCTGCACAAAAAGCTGCCGTGAGCGCATGGGCACACAGTCCTTGCAAGGACATGGTCATTAGTATCTTTGGGGGCGTTTGTTGGTTTGTTTGTTTCTAATGGAAAAGAGAGACAAGCGAGCCYAGAGGAAACCAAGTGGACAAGCAGCTTCTCCCTTCTTATTCCCCCCACAACTCACTCACTGCTGGCTGCAGTTTTACCACTTCCTTCTGCTGTGTTTCTCAAATGCCACAGCGTAGACRCTCGTTTATTTTGAACCACTGTTGCCCTACATCTGATAATAAAAATAAAGGAAATATGAGTCTGCAGTTGAAAATAGTCACTGAAAGAGATTAAATTTGAAATATTTTGTTTTTGCTTTGTTGAGCACTTATAAACAACCTTTAGAAGCAAGTCTTGCACGAATATTTAGCATACTGGCACCTAAAAATCCTGACAGATGTTCCTATTTTTTTTTAAAAAAACCCTGGCTGTCTTTGACATGTTAGTTAAGTTATGTTGTGTTAACGGTTATTTTTTTGTGTTTTGTCTGAAAGCAGACGCCCATTATGATGCAGAGAGCAAAGCTTGCCTTTAGAACAACACCATTACTCCAACATGCTGACTCTMAGTCTGAGCTGTCCATTAAGCAAGGCACCTCCGTTAAATTCTTATCCTCTTTGCATCGTGTTTGCATGCACATCCAGAAGAGTCAGGTGGAAATATATCAGCACACACACACACACACACACACACACACACACACACACACACACACACACACACA